GCCATCAGTTCAACACATCTGATGCATATTAGTGTCAAAATGTCCTCCCCTGCTGGTGGGAAACCAGTCCTCTGAATTGAGGTGATTACAGAGATCAAAGTTGCTGTTCTACTCCAGCTCCACCAGCAGGTCTCCCTCTCCCACCGTCTCTCCTGCCTTGCAGTGGACACTCTTCACCTGGAAACAGAAGCAGTCAGAGTTTTGTTCTCCAATAAAAGGAACTGGAAGTTCATGACGTTAAAATGTAACTTCATGAACTGGTTCTACTAGATTTCCCTCGCTGGACATTATAGTCCAGTAATCTATTTCTCTATTACCAAAAATCATGAATTCAGTTTTATTCAAATTTATTGATCATTTGTCATTCTTTAGCCTCTCAGTAAGTTTAGCCAGCTCACTACTGATATGTTTCAGAAGGATTTTTAAATCACTAGAGTTGCTTTTCAACTGTAATCAATTAAAAATTTAACGTTGGCACTGGAATAAATTGTAATGTTTATTATGTAAAGCACTTTGAAACGCATTATTCCTGAAATGGGCCGTACAAAATAAAATTTGATTGATTGATAAAAGGTGTATACTGAGTTGCATAGGTCTTTGCCCAGATTAGATTATGGTTCTGGAGTCTGGGGTTACTGTCAACAACTTCCCAGTGAAAAAGCTCAGTATAGAGCCTTGTAATATTCCTTATATATGCATAGAAATACTCCTAAAAAGGCTTAGATAAGATGTAATATTGAATAGATTAAATGGCTTTATTTTGAAGTTTAGTGAGCAGTTGATATCTTATATAAACAAAAATTACGTACTTATATTTTACTAGAGGATGCCTATATGGTCTTGACCCATATGCATCATGAAAAAACGACGGTCCATGTGTGCCCAGTTCAGACCTGACACTTTGGCTTTGAAGACTGGATGTTATCGTTCAGTCCCAGAGGAAGACCAAAGATGTTTTTCTGTGATTTGGGGGAAACAGAGTGAATTTCGCTTTTTTGTTTTAATGTCTTTTGTACTTCAGGTTGACAAATGATTTGTTTACTAAAACACTTTATAGCAGGGGTGCCCAACCAGTCGATCACGGTCCACCAGTCGAAAAGATGGCGGCGCGCAGAGTCGCAGCGGCCCGGGATACTAAACTTTTTAGTAGCTTTTATGTTTTTTTGGTGGTAGTTTTTATTATAACGCACAGTTATAGCACTCTTGCACTACAATACAGCCGGACCAAACTATTACAACTCAATCGCGGTGCATGGTACCTGCCGATCGGACACTATACCATCCC